TGGTCTGAAATTTTCACAACATGTGTAGAATTGATGTATGATAAGGTGTACCAAAAACGGCGGCGCTCCGCGCCGCCGTTTTTGAGATATTCGCGAAAAACCACAAGGGGGGTGTTCAAACACCCCCCCCCCAGCAGGGCGCGGGTTAACCCGCGCGGGGCTGGGGGGGTAAATTTTACCCCCCCTCGCGAATTTTTGCGATATCTCAAAAACGGCGGCGCGCAGCGCCGCCAAACTTTCAGTACCTTTTCTTACATCAATTTGACACGTACCCTGAAAATTTGAGCGAAATCTGTCGGAAAATTTTTGAGAAATTGACGTTTTAGTGACGTCATGTTCGCCATTTTCGCATCAAAAACGGCAAAAGTTCAAACGCCGCTAACATCTTCATTTTTAAAGGAATCAAGACGTAACAAAAAAGGTTATACGTAATTTTACTTTGTCTATCAAATGGCTATCTCGGTTTTTTGAAAATTTTGGATTTTGGCCTAAATTTTTTCAAAAAACTGATTTTTTTGGGAAAATCATTATAAAATCCAAAATTTTGAGTCTATCGAAAAAAACGGAATATATGTCAGAGAAGTGGTCTATGTGCACCTACATACCAAATTTTAGAAGAATCGGTTCAAAAATGTGGGAGTTATTCAAAATTTTATGACGTCACGACACACAAATTTTTTGAAAAATGACTTTTTTGGAAGTTCTAGACCTCGTACGGAAACAAAAATAGCACCATTCGATTCGCCGTGAAAAACTGCATCAGATAGACACCTTTTTAGGCCTTAACAACCAACTTCAAAATTTGACCTCACTTGACCTGACCTTGACCTGACCTCGACCTGAAATTCATCCAGAGGTGGTCCATATCACTTATTGAGTGTGCCTATTGAATTCTATGAGTAAAATGACCCATAAAACATGTGTCGCACATGCCCTTTTCTATATTTTGTTTTTTGGTGACCTGACCTGACCTGACCTGACCTTGACCTTGACCTCTGAATGATATTGTATGCAACGAGTATTGTCTTGGTAGCCTAAGAACACGTTTTGGGCAATCAGTCTCAGTCCATGACTCCATTCTTCGGCAACTACGGTGCAAGGCCGATACTGTAGAAACTTGCAATTTGTACCCTTGACCTGACCTTGACCTTGACCTCAAACTTTAAATTAAGTACATATTTTTAGTAGTTCGTGATGAGAGCTTTCGATTGGCGTTTGAATTTTCCAAATCGGACCATTAGTTCGGGAGATAACAGGGGGGGGGGGGGGTAAAATTTACCCCCCCCCAGCCCCGCGCGTTCGGCTGGAGACCCCAGCCCCGCGCGGGTTAAGTTGCACGGACCGTGGTTCTGTACAGTTTCTAGGAAAGATAGTTTGCTGTAGTCTCTTTAAAGACTTAAGCCGCCCTTGGGCGGCAGCAGTGGGCGGTGGGCGGCAGCTGATGAGTTCTCGTGCGTCTATCGTCGCTCCTCTCCGGTCCCGATCTATTCCACCGCCGCAGGCACCGATCCATCAAATCGGTGCGCCATTCGCCGCGCCGGGATAAATCAAATAGTGACGCGAATGACTGCAATTATCGTGACAAATGGAGGGCGCGTTTAGAGGCCCATCTGCCGCAGGTGACACCTCTCGCGCTGGCCGTTTCCACAAAAGGTGTGGTCTGATCATGGCTGATGGTTACTTGCCGCCCTCTTGAGAAGTGAGCGCCGTGAATCAACTGACTAGACGTCGGATCGCCGCCCGGGGTCGTCAAAAGTGATGACGGGCTTTAAATGACGATTCGGAAAGTTTAATTCTGTTCGCTGGGTGGCTGCGGCTGGCCGATGGTTTCTTGATGGTGAGGCCCGGAAAATGTGGCGTCTTATGCGGCAGGACTGTGGGCTGGCGGAGCTCGGCTTAGAGCATGTTTGGAGAAGTGAAAGGCCCGAAATGGTATTAGCGTGATAATTGGGTCGGCCGATTCAAGCGCCCTATTCGCAGACAGCGGTAAGATGACCTCCAGGGTGACCTGCGGTCGCTGGAGAGGTCACAGAGGTGACCCAGCTGTGACCCAGAACTGACGAGGCCTAACCTGAGGTGACTGTGGGCGACCCCCAGACCTGGCGGCCGAGATTGGATAATACGCGGTGAAAAGGTGACCCATTTTACGTAACACTCCCGGCTAATCCCTTCGGCTCATCCCTCCTGACAGCAGGCGTCTCGGCTGCATCTCAATCTCAGATCCCTCGTCACCACAAACCGAGACGAATCCCTGCAAAATTGCACCACCCTTTCCGCCGAAAACATTTGCATGCCCTTCCGGCTGGCTGTCGCCCCTCCCCTGATCTGTCTCCCCCGGACATCAGACCATGTCACCGGTCCCCGCCCACCCCCACCCTCCCCGGTACCCCCAGCACGCTCCGCTGACTCTGTGTACCGGTCTGCACGGATCCATTGACGAGCGAACATGCCAGTGCCGGCGGCGGCCGTCCGCCGGCCTTTCAAAGGCTGCCTGCCGGCCGGCCGGCTGGCCGCTCGGCCGGCTGGATGTTCTGTTTATTTGTGACCCAGCTGCAGTGAGCCGTGTGAGCGAGCCGGGGCAGGGGCTCTCCGGAAAAGGCGGCCGTCCCGGCCACGTGTCTGACAGCGGACAGGATCTGCCAGGGCCGTCAGGGGCAGGACGACCTAGGACGGCAGGGTCAGGACTCAGGGGTAGGGAATGGAAATGTCATGAACGAGGAAGGAAGACTGAGAATGGCAAAGTGGATGGTTATCTGCAGAGGGAAATTCTTGCCTTGGTCGCTGAACGATGACGCCTGGAGAAGTTAAATCAGTATCGGCCACGGCCTCTTTCTTTGGTTTAGTTGGACCAGTACGAGCTCATGAACTTTGTTAGTTCAGGCCAGTTCAGTGAAGCTGTCCAGATCGGGTAGTTCGGCCAGGATGTTCGTCGGTGGACCGACGCAATGGCCCTCGGGAAGTGTGCTCGGGCCGTCGCGTTGGCCGGCGGTTCCGACTCCGTACTCTATAAACAACTACTTGAGTCCCAACTGAAGACGGTGGGACCGCTGTCTCGAGTCGACAACCCTGGTAGCTGTGCCACCTCGTTTAATAATTCCTGCTAGTAGGTACTGGTACCGTGAATGAAGAATGCAGCGACTATCAGCTGTCCTTCCCCGGCCTGGCTCGTTTACAACGAAACACCGGGCGAGGTCTACAGTGAACTCAGGCCACGGTGTTGTAAACTCACGCGGTCCGACTGATTCACACACCGCAGTGCTAGCGGGATTGCCCCATTGCAGTATTTTCCTGAGGTGTCTAAATAACTTCATGCAGGGTGTTAAAATTTGTCGGCAATGTTGACGGAAAACGCGAATGTGGGCCGCTCAACTTCACGGCGAAACGGTGCAGTGTATATATACAGAAGAAACATGGTCAACATAAGAAACATAACACCGAAAATGCGCGCCTAAAAATTTTGACTTGGATAGTATGCTACATTTCTCACGATTGAAATTGATCAGAGAAGGGAAAATAATGCAATGCAGTGTCCTCCGACAGATAAAAGAAACACAAATGCTGAGTAACAATAAAAATATATCGGGTAACACAAGAGACCACATTCATACTCAACATTTCGGAACTTTATTTCACAATAATAAGAAACAAACAAAACAGAAAACGTATTTACAGCCACGGCCTGACGAAACCTCATGGGAATCTACTGGCCCTGTCCCGATTATTTGATGCATTCCACATCCATCGCAGAAACTACCAAGTTTCGTCTTATCTACCAACCAACACAGACGGGCTACTGGCTCTGATTTCACCACCGAAAGTCCGGCACACGGTCTGTCTCTTCCCTTCCCTCCCGACCTCGGGACACTACGGGCCGAGCGGGGCGCGCATGCCGGGCCGTCGCGGGCGCACCAGTCGCCACTTACTTGTCGCGCATTGTCTAGCTCAATGTCTCGCTCGCCGAGCATGCAACACGCGACGTTTCCCTGTTACCACTCCCTATTACCACAAAATTGCTCGTGACTCGTCGAGGCCTGTTACAGTTTGTCCTATCCTACTATGTCTGTCGTATCATATTGAATAAATATTTGTAGTTAATGTCGTTTAGGACCATCTTCAGAGTGCTCACTGCCGACTGCTCGTGGGAGCGCTGCAGTCCAATTAAACAGATTCTTACTCATAACCGAACCTCAGAGAGATAATTCGCAAAACACGTTGATTACGTTAATGACGCCGATCAGTATAATATGCAGCTGAGAACTGCAGGTTTCCACCGCCGCTATTTATCGTAATTAACTCTGTGATATTTGGCCGGTGCGCAGTCGTGCGGTGACCATTAGGGTCTCTCGGCGCGGCGTAGACGGCACACACATACCTGCTCTCGTAACTCGTCGACAATGCCGTCAGGGTACCGCCTGGATGTAAAGGCACGCTAATGCCGACCGATCACAGACGTACCGGATGATTGAGCGCCTCTGCTGAGAATAGCAAAAACGACTCAGCATTCTTCTGGTCCAGTTTGGAATATTTGTGGATTTGAGCTGAAAGGGCTGGCCCGACATATTTGACTTGTTTTATCATTGCATCGCAATGGTCGTCAAATGGGAGAAATTCATTTTAGTCATTTCGGGACGTAAAAAGCACCGCTACGGCAATGCTCTGCATATTGAAACCCTTATCATTGAATGCTTGCTGCATGACAAATGCCTAACTATTCGTGTGGAACGTCATGTCTGCAAGTTGTGCTACGATCGCTGACATTCCCAGTGTTTTTTGTCTGTTGCCGCACCAGGCTAGGCAGCCTCTAAGACTCAATGCTGAAAGTGATTTGTGCTTGGGAGAAGTGTTCTATTAGGGTGTTCTGTCCAACTCATGATGTGATCGTATGGTCTTGTTTTGTTCTGTTCGACTGTAATGTTAAGCTTTGTTCTTTATACGCTCTATTCTGCTCGGATGTTCCGCTCTAACCAAGCGTTCTAACGTGTCTCTGTACCATGTTTCAGACAAGTCGTTCAACGTTCTGAGCGAGGGCGGTTCGGGCTCGGAGCTGACCCTGTCTGCGGGCACGGCGGCTGACCCGTGGCCGGCCGAGCACGCCTCCTCCGACATCCCCATCTACTGCGGCATCCTGGGCACCGTCATCGTCGGTGAGTGCCCACGTGGGACGGTCAACGGGACGGGATAGTTCGTGCGTTGGCGATGTGGATAACAGTGGCGGCACTTGCTGTCTATCGCTCGCCTCATTGGTCCATTGGCCGTTAGCTTGTAAAACCATATGCACCTGGCTGCTTGTCAGACTGTTCTTCCTTCATACTCGTTTATCCCGATCTTCTAATCGTCGATGCCTGTAGGATCGTCTTGAGCGTCTCTCTTCTGTCGGTCTATGTGTCCATGCACTACCTACCTGCCGACAGTCCAGCAAACGGTCGTATACCATGAGTACCGGCCCGCTCGATTGTGCCTGCCATGAGTACCGGCCCGCGGACTGCGCTGTGCCGCAGTTAATAAGTGCGGTGTGCCTAGTCCAGTTTGTTGCGCCATTTGTCCGTCTGTCTAATTTGTCGGAGCCGTCTGTCCGCCTATAATTTGTCAGTGCTGCCCGGCCGCCGGCCTGGCCGTGACGAGGGGCATTGCAGCTCTGATGTTCTCATTTCCATGATTATCATTATGAATACATTACGGCCGTGATGCATGCAGCCCGGATGCAAATGCAAGTGCCGCTCGGCGTGTTGTAGCGGCGTTTTGAGCGGACCGCGCGCCGCGCCGACTGCTCGTGAGAGCCGCTCGCCGGGCCGGCCGGGCCGAGCGCGGCTGTTTGATATGCGTCCGGGGTGCTGAATTAACACCGCCGGCGACGCTGGGGCTTTGTGGCCGCCAGCGGCTGCGCCCAAGTGGATATTAGGTTTATTCATGTTGGCGGGAAGGCGGCCTGTAAGTGCGGTGTAATGGTGCGCCCACAATGCGCCCGACTGGTTCTATTAGTGGCGGGTTCATTGAATCACAGGATGGTCTGCCCGCCTGCTGTCCATCCTCTGTCTGTTCCTGAGGGAGCGGTCAGCGGTCAGGTGACGGACCCCTGGGGTACCCCGGTCGGTCATACAGCCGTCAGTCCATAGTTCACTCGGCAGAGGTGACAGCGGTGTGAAGGAGGCCAATCAGGAATAGCTAAACAACGAAACGTGTGTGGAGGCGGTCTTTGCAGTGTTCCTCGGCTCTTGGTTCGTGTTCAGAACTTGTCGTGATTCGTGCCGTTCTCGGCATGATCCGATGCACATTCCGGTAACCGCGCCAGACGTGACTTGGAATCCCTCGCTAATATCAGCGGCAACCATGCCACTCGAATAATCGGTGCTCGCTTACTCACATCAGTCGTTTCCCTTTGTCCCATCGGGTACGCTCGTAATCCATCGTTTTGTTGCTAGTCTCTCCCACTATAGCCAATCTGATGTTGTTGCTCTGGCTTGTTAAACATGAATCATCACTACTGTTCCCCTTTACCTGGCTTCTCTTCTCTACCTTCTCCGGTCTCCCTACCCTGCTCCACCACCCGTCGGCGGGGCGGGGCCTCCCTCTCCTCCCCCTCCCGGCTCGATGACTGGACGATGACGGTGGCGGCGGCGGCGGCGGCGCGGCGACTGCTGCCTCATGGTCTGCCCCCGGCGCAGGCACGGGCTCTCAGTAACCGAGACGGCCGCTGAACAGGGTCTGAGACGTCTGAAACGGCTGCTCAGAGGTTGGAGACGGCTACTGAGAGATGCGATACGGCTGATGAGTGGTCGAACGGCTGCCGAAGGGTCTGAAAAGGCTGTTGAGACGGTTTCCAGGGATTAAGATATCTAAGATGGGATTGAGATGGCTGATGAGTGATTAGAAACGGCTGGTGAGGGGTCAGAAACGACTACCGAAACGGGTTTCATGGGTCTTACTTGTCTGAGATTGGATTGAGATTATCTACGAGTGATGCAGACGGAAAGCTGATTCAGACGGAAAGGCTGAACCATCCTCAGCGGTGAGCTCGACCGTAGTGCCGTAATCACCAGTAACCATTTAATTCTGCGCCTGCAGCGGACAAAGTGTCCACTGTCCAAAGTGTCCTCTCTAGGGGCTGTCCGCAGCGTGCCGAGTGGCCCCTTTAAGGACTGTCCGCAGCGGGCTGAGTGTCCTTTATGAGAACTGTCTGCTGCGGGCCGAGTGTGCTCTAAGTGTTGCCGAGTGTCTGCCGTGCAGGGTCCGATCTCGTGTTTCCCGCTCAGAAACACCATTCTGCAGCTGAGTTAATGGACCGACGGCGGCCAGCTGCAGCCGGCTGCGGTTGTCGGTCACAATGTAAGGCCCATGTCACTGATGGTGGGTGCCGATGGCATATTCAGCTGGCCGAGCACTTATCGTGACGCCGTGTCCGGTTGGGCCTGCCGGCGCCGTCGTGTCTGATGCTGTCGTGTTCTTTTTATTCTGTTTCCATTTTTGTCGTCAAATTTAAACATGTTCCCCGTCGTCTTCTGAGGATGGTTAATCTGAGGTTTTCTGTTTGACAGTGAGGTCGTGCATGCCCTGGGTTTGTCTCACTTCTGTCTGCTCAAATAAGACCGATCAGACTCGCCTATTCCCTGCGGCTTGTTTGTTTGTTTATTGGGGCTTTAGGGCGCGCCGACTGCGAAGGTCATTTTGCGCCCATAACGTCACACTAATAAAACAAGTGTTTCAAAACAAGAGACCTTATATACCAAGGCTAGAAAGTAAAAGACTTGATAAAAAGACAAGGTAAGATAGAACAACGCAAGAGCGTCGTAACAGTCAACTGACTAGACAAGTAGACTAGAGAGGAATTGGGTCAGGTTGAGTAAATCACCTGGAAGTTGACCGAACGGATAAAGGAAAAAATATTGCCGGATAAAACCCAGGGTGACTCGTCACCCAGTAAGTGGCGGATAGTGGTACCAGGAGCAATACAGCCCAGGTAGCGTGTCCGGTTCCGTTCAAAGAGTGGGCAAGATAAAAGAACGTGAGCGACGGTTAGAGGCACGGAACACCTGTTGCACAAAGGCTGCTCACCTCCTGAAAGGAGATAGCTGTGCGTCGCGTATGTGTGACCAATACGGAGTCTGCAGAGGACCACTTCATGGAAACGATTGCCTTGCATGCAAGACTGCCAAGGCTCTAGAGTTGGTTTCAACTCTCTCAGCTTGTTCCTTACACACAAATCCCACTCTGCCTGCCACTCTGAAAGCATGAAGGGTCGCACCAGCGGATAAAAATCCCGGGCAGGCAGAGGCAAGCGCCGAGTGCAGGGTGCTGCTGCGGCGCGTCTGGCAGCAGCATCAGCAAGCTCATTGCCTTCAATGCCGACGTGACTGGGAATCCAGCAGAAACGGACTGATTTTCCAGATTGCTCCACCGACGTAAGCCGAGTTAAAATGTCCCGCACGATGGGGTCAACTGAGTTAAAAGTACGTAAGGCCAATAAGCTGCTAAGAGAATCAGATAAAATCAAGTAAAAGGGACTGCCAGAAACCTCGATGAAACACAAAGCCTTCTCTATAGCGACTAGCTCTGAAGAAAACACCGAGGCGGAAGGTGGCAGAGAAAACGAGCGGGTGTCACGACCAGCGACAAAAGAGCAGCCCGCTCCCTCGGTTGTCTTCGAGCCGTCTGTATAAACCGTGATAAAACCATCATAAACGGCAATGTGCTCTAAGGCTCTGGCTCGCGCCTCAGCAGGCAACAAGTTGTCCTTCTTAACAGTCGATAGTGAGAGGTCCACTTGCGGATTGGCGTTTTTCCAGGGTGGAGGGGGCGTGTCCCAGGTACGCCGAACGCCACGCAAGGATATGTTAGCAGCTGAAAAAAGACCTCCCATGCGTTCTCCAAACGACGGTCGTACCCTCCCGTCAGATCGAGTAGCGTGACGTGAAAAGACGTACGGGTACGTCGGATGCGTTGGGTATTGGCGAAGTTTCAAAGTGTAACGCATCCCCAGCATCTGGCGACGAAGAGCTAGAGGTGGCTCATTCGTTTCAGCCAGAAGACTACTCTTTGGAGAAGTGCGGAAAGCCCCGGTGGCAACGCGGAGCGCAGCGTGATGTACTGCGTCCAGGGACTTCTTGCTGGACTCACTTGCAGAATCATAAACAAAACACGCGTAGTCCAGCTTCGATCGGATGATCGACCGGTACAAGAGGAGCAGAGTTTTGCGATCCGCACCGTATGATGTGCGGGCAACACACTTTAAAACGTTCAGGGATTTAAAACATCGTTCCCGAAGCGTTCTAAAATGTTCTTTATACGTCAAACGTCCGTCAAACGTCATACCAAGAAACTTCGCCACCGGCTGCGTGGGGATCGTCTGTCCGTACAGACGGATACCCAATGTAGGGTCGGCGCAGCGGCGGCGACAGAAATGCATGGCAACAGTCTTCCTCGTTGAAAAACGGAGACCATTGTCGCGGCTCCATCTCTCAAGCCGTCTGACTGCAAGCTATTCCCTGCGGCTGTCCTGTCTGGAATTCCCCGTATCGTGCCCAGGTTTGGACTCTGTCCTTTGAACGGCTGTCATTCCGACCGTTTACGGCCGACTCAAATCAGTGGCCTCCAGCAGCCGCCGCCGTGCATAAACGGTAATGACTGGGGCCCGTTCACCGCCGCCAACCGCCGCCGCTACGCTCTGCACGCCGTCTCCTCTCAATGGTTCTGTGCTCTGACTTATTCCCAGTGACCCCTATCCCCCCCTCGACTCCAGGCAACTGCTTTGTTTCCTCTCCCTTCTTTCTCTGTTCTTTTCTCTCCTATAGGAGATAAAAACTTCTCGCCTTTTCCTTCCTCTACTGCTCTCCATCCTCTCTCTCTCTCTCTCTCTCTCTCTCTCTCTCTCTCTCTCTCTCTCTCTCTCTCTCTCTCTCTCTCTCTCTCTCTCTCTCTCTCTCTCTCTCTCTCTCTCTCTCTCTCTCTTTTCGACCCCTGGTCCTCTGCGTCCCCTCCTCCCTCTCTCCCTCTCCTCTCCTGTGACCTCTCCTCTCGGCTCTGCCGGTTATGAACCGTGTCGCGTCGGCCGCAGCCGCCGGCTCGCTCCATTGTTCCTCAGTGCACGGCTGGCCACCGAGCCAAATTGCACGCTTGCCGACAAAACGGTAATGGGGCCGCCGCCATCGGCCGTAGGGGGTGTGACGGAACGGCCCTGCACGGCCCGAGGGGGTGTGACGGAACGGCCCTGCACCGGCACCTGCCGCCCTCGGCCGCCGCCCTAGTCGGTCGGTCGGTCTGGGCTGGTGTTAGGCCCTTGTGCCGGCCGTTTGGCACTGCAGTCTCCGTGTCCGGTGGGGCCAGGTGTGACGACGGTCCGAGAAGAAAGAATGGAGGATGTTCGAAAGCGGTGCTGTGGATGTGGTTGGCCGGCTAGTGGGATTTATGGGAATGTGATAGAAGTTTTACGTTTTAGAAGGAATGAGACAGGATTGTGGAACGTTCGCTAAAGAACGTCACGACTCACTAGAGTGACTGGGACGAAACAATATAGATGCAAACCGTATGAGACGAGTCAGTGGTCACAGGTTAATGTTACTTAAAATGCCGTCTATGTTACACCGCGTGAATAAAGCTCATCCGGTATTTAGGTATCGATTTCTTCACTGTAGCTCTCTGTCGCGCGCTCGTGGCATGTCTGACATCCGAAAGTGTCGGTTTTTCGTGTCTACGCCGCGCCGGTCCGCAGGTCGCTCTACCACTCGCCCTTGGCGCTTCCATTCTCTCGCCCAGTGATCGCCTGCCGTGCTTCCATTCTCCATGTGGCAAAAAGCTCTCCCTCAATTACGGCTCCTGCGGTGCTACACCTCCGGCGAAGGTGTGCGCGTTTTCCGCCTCGGCGAATCAGTCAGCGGTGACGTCTCAGAGCGCAGGCCGTCCTGTTTTGTTGTGCGGCCTCCCGACCGGCACTTGGGCCGGTCAGGGTGTCCCAACCACGCCGCCAGATCCGGTCCGGCTAAATAGCCTGCCCGCGTTCCAATTAAGACGGCGCGTTGCATAAACGGAGATTAATTTCATGCAGAGTATGCGCCGCATTCCGCCAGTCATTAGAGGGCTATCGGGTGGCCTCCCATCCTCTCTCTTTCTCCCCGGCTCTGCAGTTGAGCGGGGTGGAAGACCCACCAATCATGTCGCCCCGCCAAGGCCACACCTGGATACCGGAGCATCGTCATCGTCCCAGCGGCTCTTTGAAGACCACTCAGTGCCGTTGTGTCATACAGCGATACACATGAGCCGCGTGGGTGTCATTGTGTATCCGACCGGCCGGCCAACCCGCTCTTATTTTCCATTCCATCATCGTGTGCGTTGTCAGTTTCACCGGTCCGCGAGCGCCTGAATGACACCCTTCGGTCTATAATTCCGGCCCAGTCTCTTTGTGAGCGATCCCGTGCGTGATACCCCCGCTCCCTCCCCGCCCGCCGCTCGCCGTCCGCCCGCTCGCTCGCCGCCGCCCCCCGCTCGCCTGTCTGTCGAGCGATACGGATCACCTTGCGGGTCTGTAATTCCTCGGCTGTGTAATCGCCACCCTTCCCGTGTAATACCACAGCAGACCGGCGCGGCGGCGGCGGCGGCGGCGGCCGCGCGGAGACCCGCCCGTAATCGGCGCTCGAACCTTCCAACAACATCCGGCCCACAGGATCCCTTGTTCTTGCGGCGTGCCGCGCTCCCGCCCACTAGACCTCCAACTCCGCACGCACAGGCTGGTGTTCCGTCCGTCATCCGCCGCCTGCCGTCACCCACAAGCCGCTGATGCCGTCAGCGCCCGAGGAGATAGTGTAGCGGGCGGAGCGGCCGTGTAGGTCGTGTAGAACCCTTTCAGCGACGGCTCGTGCGGAGCGGCTCGAGCCGCCGTATATTGATATGGGGCCGTGGAGCGCGGACGGCCCGCCCGGCGAGAGCGGCGGGCGGGCGAGGCTGGGCGAGTCGGGAGAGTGGAGCATGGCGGGCGTCGAGCCAGTAAAGTTCGGCGAGCGGCTCGTCCGCAGCGGAATGGCAGTCCGATACTGGGAGAGGCCTCTGGCAGCCACCGCTCAGGGTTTGCTCCACTTCCGAGCCATCACAGTACCAGACCGACACGTGCTAACTTGTTCCATCGTCCAGCCTGGAGCGCTGCAGGCTCCAGTGGGGACGGAAACGCCCTCGAGCGGTGTCCGCTGCAGCAGCCGTCCCGGTGCTGCCGGCGGTGAGCCGACTGGAGGCGCGGCCGACCCTCCCCTGACGGCGATTAGACGCGGCGGAACAGATGTAAATATTAGCCGGCCGCCACCCGGGCATTACGGCCGCTCAGATTGGCGGTCAGGGCCGCCGTAGGAATGTCGGTCGTCACCCCTGCGCCGCCATCGCCGCCGCTGCCGCCCACCGGCGCTCGCGCGCGGCCCTGTAATTTGGCGTCGTACATCACACGAGCTCGCGCGCGGCGCACAAAAAGACTCCGGCGCCGCCGTCCCGCCCCCGGTACCTGCGCGCTGTACCCGCCGACTCCTGCGGCGGCGGCGGCGGCGGCGGGCCGGTTCCGTGACAGGCCGAGCGGCGGCGGCGCTGTCGCGGCGGTGTCCGACATGGAAAAGTCTGTCGGCACGGCTGGCGGTCGCCGCCGACCGGAGATAACGTCGCTAATCCGTTCGACTGTGGCCCGAATGAATGGGGAGCGTGAGAGGTAGTGACACCACTGAGGACCGGTCGGGTGTGGAGTGGTGTCGACCGCTCAGTGTCTTGCGTGCAGGGTGAGATGTCGGTGGGCCGGGGAGTGGGTACTTGGGTAGTCGCCGGGCCGAGTCTGCTGATTGGCGGTGCTCTGCGGGGGCGGGTTGGCTCTAGAGGTGGCAAAATGTGGACCCGAGGACCCGGTCCAAAGAACCAGTCTGGACCCATATGGGTCCAGACCGGTTCCTGGAAATTTTCTGACGGGTCCAACCGGGTCCTACCATAAACTATACATCGTGCACACTACACATTATTGCAAAATATAAAGTGAATGAAGTGAATGTTTCTTTGCACGCAGTAGCTCATGAGTATTCCCAGTGGAAAATAGGCGCAACTAATGATACCTACAAGTAGTTTGTATTAATTGACTTTTGGGGAACGGGTCCAACTGGTTCCGATTCCAACTAAGACCGGGTCCGACTGGTTCCAGTAATGTCCAGCCGGGTCTGGTTCGAGTCTGGTTCCCAAAATTTTCATCTTTTGCCACCTCTAGTTGGCTCGCTGTCGGCGAGCAGCTTTGAAGTCGATCCGCGAGACGGGTTCCCGGTTGTGAGGCGCATTGCGGTGAAGTTTGCCGGTTGTGCAGCAAATTACAGCGACCACAGCGGTGGTCTGCGGCCGGCACGGAGGATCGCCGGCCTCCGCAGAACCAGTTCTGCCGGCCGTGACGGGATGCCCCGCGCGGCTCCGAGCCGGCGCGCCGCGCGGCTCGCCTGACGGCCGTGACGCCATCTCGGCGGCGTGACGGACTCCGTGACGTCCCGGCGGACTGACCCGGCGGCATCCGCGCGCCGCGGCCGACCGAGTGCCGTTCCCACGAGCTGCTCTGCGCCAGCTCCTGGACTGTCGGCGCCGGGACTGGTTCGGGCGCTCAGCACTCGGTCGCCGCCGTCCGCCCCGAGCCGGTCGAGCCCGCTCGGCCGACCGCTCAGTAGTCGGCTGTCAGCGGCGGTTTGTTTGCCGTGTCTGTCGAACGTTTTTATCGTGTCGGATGCCGGTTTGTCTGGTGTTTGGCTGGAAATCGATATCGATTGTTCACGTTTTGTTGTCTGAGGATGAAGTGCGTCGAGTGCTTCCTGCGATGGATTACGAGAGAGCTGTATTGATGAAGAAGTGAAAAATCGAAACGCTTTTCATCTGGTGCTTTTGTGTTTCACTCGGGTTTGTTTTTGTGTTTGATGTTTTTTTCTGACCCGATGTTGTTGCGGTCCGCGCGCGTTTCTGTGCAGTGAGTAATTACATGTGCCCGCCTCCCTCTGATGTCGATCGTCCTTGTTCAGCCCTCTTCCTAATAACTTTTCTTTCTTTCCCTTTGCAGTGCTGCTTCTGTACGTCGCCGTGCGTCACTGGAAGCTGCGTGCCGCTCCTCAGAAGGCCAGTCCGGCAGCGGCGCCGTCGGCAGTGGTGGTCGCCCGTCCGGCCAGCGCCACCGACTCCTCTGCCGGCTGTCCGCAGATCGAGCCGCTCTTCCCAGGTGAGCACCGTCCTCAGCTGCCCCGCGCTCAGCTCCCGTCAGCTCCCGTCAGCGTCCGTCAGCGCCCGTCAGCGCTGAGACGGGATGACGTAACGAGGGCGGTTTATTGACCGTCCTACCGGCCAGTCGCGCCCCCGTGAAAAGTGGTCGTAAATCGAGGCTGTTTCGGCTTCCGATTGAGGAAAGCTAGCGCAGCCACTCAGTTATCCTGCCTCAATCTGACACGGCTGAGGTCATCGCGCGGGATGGCCCGAACCGGTGAACGAACGGTCACGATCGAAGAGAAAATCACGGCGGGGGTCACGATCGGTCAATGTGCCGCCGCGGCCGCCGATCCACTCACAATCATAGTGCGGTTGAGGTCATGATTACGATTGGGCTTGGCTATTGAAACGTGCTGATAGTTCACAGGTTGAATGATGTGCCACGCACGGCGTTCATGCTCGGAGTTGGGCGTGTTTTCAGTGTCAATGCCAATGTCGAATAGAAGGTACCTATATTTCCCGTGCGGTGTCAGTGCGTTGAGACCATCAGTCTCACGGCAGCGGGGCGCCGACTCGCGCCGCTCCGCCCGCCGCGTGGGGTCGGTGCGCGAGGGCTCCGTCGCTACAGTGGCCATGTCAGCTGTGAACGGGCCGATTACGAGCCGGCGCGAAAACAAACGCCCGCGCCGCTCGTCGTTAATCGTCGCGGGTGGCCGGGGAGGGCGGGGGGGGGGGGTGACCAGAGATCGGGCGAGCTAAAACGGTCCGGCGCCGCGCCAACGACCCTCGTGACGGCCGGCCTGTGAGGAGATCACCTGCTACCGGTGATACAGACGGCGATAGGTCCCCAGTGACGACCGGGGGGAGGGAGGGGGCTGCAGCCGGTCCGGCTATCAACGACCGGCGTGCGGCACGCGGCCCGAGGCCGGCCCACGCACACCTGACGTTCCACAGCGGCGGCCGCTTTGTTTTAATCAGACAGCGCGCCGTTTTTGCGGTCAAATTCTGGGAGTCGTAAATCAAAATATTATGAGAGTCCGGTTTTGTCGTAAATCAATCGACAGACGGCCGCTGAGCGCACAGTTCGTGGCTGCCGAGCGGTCGAACCGGCTTCTGGTCGCCGCCGCCGCCGCCGCCGCCGCCGTCTAGCCCGTCGTCAGTGACGCTCTAGCGACGGCAGCGGCGGGCGGGATGCTGCCTATTGGCACACCTCTTGCCCCTGGGCGAAAGAGGTGCTGCAAACGATCGAATGATCGCTGATGATGATCAGGCTGATTTGATTTTCGTTCGCGAGGCATCTATCGTCATGAAAAGAGAGAGAGAGGCGAGGAAGTCGAGCCGGCCCATCCTACGACGGTAGAACAAACATAAACATCAACAGAACCGCGCAGGCTTCTCTTTCATATCTCTCTCCATCACTCGAACCTCGGGTAGGCTCTGCTGACAGGCTCCCGACATCAATGCAGGCCGATCTTACCTCACCGATCGCCCCCCGCCGCGCTGGGTGCAACGCTGATCAATGGTGACGGGCTGACAACAAATGGCCACCGCTTGGATCGGCACCGCGCCCTCCCTGCGGACAGTGCTTACCCGTGGTCAGGCGCGGCGCATTACTAACGGGTTCACAGCGACGTCAATATTATCCCCTCTCAGCTCAGGATCGGTCCTTCATCGACAGAAAGATCGAGCGCCGTGAGATCATGCAGCTCGAGCGGCACAAAGCTAAGCCGCAATTCGTCATCCAGTCAAGACGGAGCGCCGATGGGGATTTGGTCGTGAAACTTGGCTGGCTCGGCTGAAGTTTTTCGATGTTTGCGCTCAGTGGTATTGTGGAAAGTTGCTCGGCTGGATCGGTTGGAGGCGAACGTCGGCTTCGGGAAACAGCCTTGGTGGTCGGACGGCGCCGACTGGGCCGATTTCGACCGGGGTCCGGTGACTTCGGCTCGTTTACGACGTCGGGAAATTGTGGATCAAAGTGCTCTGGCCGGACGCAGTTCCATTTTCAAAAAGGTGGCGACAAAAAGCGAATGGATACGGCTTTTAATGGATTTAGCTCGTTCTTGTTGTGAAAGAAACAGACGCGTATCCATCTGCAGAGAGTGATCTCTGCACTTCAACGCAAACATCGCCTCCAACTTGGCCCGAGTCTCTGCGGGGCACAAATTCATCATCTGGCAGCGGTGAGCCGCTCTGCTCTCCCCAGTCGCTCTGCCCGCCGGCTACCGATCCGGACGGTAAATTTCCCTCCTTTGATCTGCGAGTTGATGTGCCCCAGCCACGGTGTGTGAACTGCCCGGGGGGGGGGGGGGGGGGTCGGCGTTCCGTGACCAGGCCGGCGGGGCCTGCCAGCGGCCGCTCGGCACAGCTTGGGAGGCCGGTCTGTCACTGTCGCCGTGTCCTCTGAAGTCGCCGCCGGGCCGGCGACCGTCCCCCAGCTCGGCAAGTCGTGGGCTACGCACGACTGCCGTGATGGCCTGGCAGAGCTAAATCGGGAGTCTGACGACCGTCGGAGCGGCTGGGCCGGGCCCGCCGGGCGCGACGCGGCCGACACAGAGGACTGAGACAGAGGCGGCACAGAGGGCTGAGATAGACGGCACAGAGGGCTGAGATAGACGGCACAGAGGACTGAGATAGAGGTGGCACAGAAGGCTGAGATAGACGGCACAGGCCACAGAGGATTGAGACAGACAGGGGTGGCACAGAGGATTGAGACAAAGACGGCTCAGCAGTGAGCACACTGAATCCGACAGCGACGGCACAGCGAAGTAGACGTAGAGACAACTCAACGGACTGTGACGTAGATACGGTGCACCTGCCGAAAAACGGTCCGAAGGGGCAAAGACAGAGACGGTGTACTGTATGTACCGGACAGAGACGGCGACGCTACGTCGGGACATACCTACAAAACGGCGCAGACAGAACTGCACAGTGTCCTGACTTCATGCAGGGCACCGAACAGAGACGAAACGTCGGTCTAGAGCACCCTTGTATTGTCCTTCGTATCTTCTTAGCTAGCTTATCGCAAAGTTCCCTAGAACCATTCCTTAGACGTCATGCCGAGTGTGTTGGATTTTATTTGACAACCATGGCGGCGGACTGGAATGCAGCACTTATCTGCCCGAACCGGGCAGTTCCGGCTGACCTGTTCGGAACCATTCGGACCTGTAACCGCCCCTCCCGTCGTGTCCGAGCGGCGTCTCAGAACCTCCGCAGGGTCCCACGGCGACCGCAACGTCCGGCCTGCGCCGCGCTCGCCGCGACCGCACCGCCGCGCCACAAACGCCGCATGACGACCGTCTGCGGTCCGGCCGGCCGACCGGCTCCGTGAGCCACCCGACCCGTGACCTGGCGCTCTCGTGACGGGCGTGACCCGTGACCTGGGCGGCGGTCAGCGCCAGATGACCTCCGGTGACCCGTGACCTCTGAATGGGGCCGCCGCCGGCCCCAGCTCGCCTGACTGCCGGCCGTCCGTCTGCCGGCCGTAATTATGAAATTACGGGGCAGGGCCGTTTTTCTCTCGCGCGCGGCGTCAAAGCCCGCGGTTAATAGCGTTTTAAATTAGCGTCATGACCGCGCCGGCTGGCCGGTGCGCCGCTGCTCGCCGCGATTTCATGCCGCCGCGCCAGGTTGGTGGTGCTGGGCGCCGCGCCGCCTATAAAGATGAACAAAGGTACCGGGCGGTCGGCGGCAGACGTGAGATGGCGGCCGCCCTGCGAACAATGCTCCAAGACCACCGCGCCGTTCCTCCACATCCACCTCCACCGTCCCTCCTCCCCCCCCCCGCTGCAGCACCGGCCGGCCGAAATTCCCCAGCGGGTAATTGCCGAGCGGCAAGATGCACGGCCGCGGGTAATGGCCGCTCTGATGAGCGGGCCGCCGCCGCCGCCGCCGCCAGCGGCGTTACCAGTCATGTCTAATCACCGTTTTTGATGTTGAGATCATGAGCGGCGGCTGGCCAGCGAGCGGGTCTGACGGAAAGCGACGGCTCCCGGCGCTGGACGGGCAGGGCGGCCGTGGATGCGCCAGGAGCGGGATGGGGAGAAATTAACACGAACAAGCCATAGATTAAGACGGGCGTGTTGCCTAAATTGATAGCAGTGCTCGGTTAGTTAGATCTGAAGTGCATGAGGCTAGCGAGGATATGGGGACTCGGGATTCATTAGAAGTTTCACTGTAGAGCAGACCGACAGACAGTGGTCATCTGTCCAGCTCAACTCGCAAAATGTGTCGCGGCGGTCTTCTCTGCTCCGATTTCCTATTCGAATGTCACCGTGCGGTCTGCCAGACCTGCCGGGCTCCCTGGCCTGACAGAGTCCACCTCAATTCCACCCTGTCACCCTGTCAACTGCCAGATGTTACCCCGCAGTCACGGGGACAGGACACCCGCCCTGTCACCGGACAGAGGGACAGGTGTTCCTCGGACTCCAAAGAGCTGCCTCTCTGGCTCCACCGACAAAAGGGGAACGAAAGACGTGCAGGCATGTCGCTGTCTCGGTCTCCCGCCGTCCGACCCAGCCTTTCTGATTTCTCACCCGCCGCTGGGTCACTGAGACCCGCAGTCTTCTCAGCGGACCACTCTCAGCTGGCCATTCGACGGACCGGACCTCGCAGTCCACTCTTAATTACCCACACAAAAACGTTCCAACAATAGGAATGACTGAAATTTTACCGAGTTCAAAAAGCGGCCGGCCGTTGGCGAATGCCGCGTCTGTCATTCGCCGGCCGTCATACGCCGAATACTGATGGACCAGCGCTGCTTTTTGTGGGCCCGGCCGGCGGAAGGGAGTGGGGGGGGGGGTGGGGGTGGGGGGGGGGAGGACGCTGGGTCGCCGCCCATTGCGGGGTACGGCTGGAAGCGGCAGTGTCAGCAATTGAGCAGCCTGTGCTCTCTGTGATATGGGTTAGAGATGGGGCTGAATGATGCAACTGATGAAGCCGGCGTAACTGCAGTAGCGAGCTCGTCTCTCTGCGCGCAGTGGGGAGCGCTGGGCGAGGCGTGCAGCGTATGCGTGCAGTGCAGATGTGCAATGTGCCTTGATAAAGTGCGCTTCTTTGATTGAGCGTCGGCGAGTTACCAGCAGTTTCTGTCGTCGCCGCCGCCGGAAAAGCACCACTCACAACTGCGTTGCCCGAGTCTGACAGTTTTATTTTTATAAATGAGGCCGGGTTTACCCCCCACTCGCCGACCTCCGTCGAACCGGGACGTGACGTGGAAGCCGAACGGGTCTCGTGGCTCCATTTCGCGGCCACTGCGGCCGTCTGCCCATCACTCGGCCTTGATCTAATCAGTGACCGAGCCTGTGTCGTCTGTTTGTTCCAGTGCCACTGAAGAAGCGGCTCACTGAGATGCCGGTCACCGAACGACGGGAGATCGAGACCCAGCTCTGCAACCACCCTACCAACAACTGGACGGCGCTGGCGGCCGTGCTCGGTACGTAAACAGAGACTTGAGAGTAGATAATTACGCAGTTCATACGTATTCTGAAAATACTTACGTACTCGTTACGTAAACTGAGAGAGACAGATTTAATTAGTACGCCGGCATATATGCAACAGGAATAGCAGGGGGAGGGCAGCAGAGTGGTTTCTTTTCTTGGTCAGTATGTTTGGGATGCGTCATGTTTGCCCATGTCGTCTCGATGAGCGGTCAAACAGGTTTCGATATCAGTGAATCATCTACCTGCGTTCATCATCGGGGACCCACAGCAGTCAAAACTGGAGACGGGCAAACCCTGAAACAAAGGCACCCATTTAATTCATCCCGTCATCCAAAATACATGATGTGTTTTACGTCTACCGACAAAAGACAGCAGTCTTCTCCACTCGAGCACACAGAAGTTTTAAAAATTTAGTGCCTCCTGTATGTGTGTGGGACATTATCTCTGCGAGCCTAGCTCGCCGCGATGCACTCAGTTTTACCGGCACGATCACCTGCGACCGTGACTGCCGGGACCGGTGGGCCATACGGTGACAGTCACTGATGGATTTATGGGGTTCCAGCGGGATTCTCAGCGGGCCAGCAGAGCCCCGCGCACCGCGCCTGAATCACAACAATGCACGGCGCCGGCTGGTGGCACTAAGTTCTTCAGAGAGCTGGGGGAGGGGCTGGGGAGTGGGTTAGCGGGGTCAGACAGGGCGGAACGTCAGTAATGCTTGTGAGTCAGGGTGGCAGTCAGTGGCCGTAACGTCTAGGGCGAAATCAGGTCGTATGAATGTCGTCATATTCCGTTTGTCACTTCGTCTGGCCTTCGATGAATAACCGCTTCTTATAGGTATCTTGGAATAGCCTGCCCGTCCTGACCATCGGCTGTTTTGATCACCAACGTGTCTAGATTCCCGACCATCAAATATCCCATCCTCCTGTCTTTTCATATCACCTCACCCGTCATCTGCAGTCAATGCTCACCACTCGCCGGTGATCGCTCACCATTCCCTCCCTCTGCCCACAGGCTACTCCAAGCAGCACGTGCGTCAGATTCAGGAGCAGGCCGCTGAGCGCAGGACAAACCCGGCGAGGCTGCTGCTCACAGACTGGGCCAAGCGCAGTGACGCCACTGTCAACTCACTGGTCCACGCGCTCACTATGGTCGGAAGGAGAGACCTGGCCGGTCTGGTGGCACCCAAACCCGTGCGACTTACCGTGGCTGACGTGGACAACTTTGTGTAGTGCCGGCACTCGACGCCAACTGATCTCGTCTATATGTGCGTGTGTGTAGTGTGATGTGATTTATTTGTATGCGTATTTTGCCGAAGGTTGCGCAGCCTTTGGCGATGTGGTTTGGAGCAATGCGGTATTTGATGAGATGTTGAGAAGGGGAACTTGTTTATAGTGATGTTTCCCATTTGGTGTTCCCCGTATGATATGCATTGTTCGCGCGCACAAGACTCCGTGTGTTCCATCTGCTCTCTATTTGTTCCCCAAGCCAGTTAGATATGCCCTCTTGTCACAGTCAGTCAGTCTGCTATCATGTGTTGAACTCAATCATGGGCGCATTACACGTCCATTATTTATATGATGTGATACATGTCGCTTTTTGTAAATATGTCACCTCGTCGATGTCGGAGAAACCACGCCCTGTTGCGCGGCTTACCATGCATGTATTCATCCCTAGCAAGCATCACTCATTCCCTTGTGAATCTGAAACCTCCGAGACGCCCTTTCCGGGCTCTTTCCCGTAGCATCTGCCAGTGTTTCGATGTAGCCGTGTAAATTTCACATCCCCCTCCCCGATCGGACGAGGCCAGCGACGACCGCCTCGCCGGTCGGGTCAGATCTGATTCAGGAGGTGTATCAGCCAGTAGCAGCTCGACGACGCACCGCGCTGAGCTGACTCTTCCCACTAGGCTGGCCAAAGATTAGCGTATAGGTACGCGGGCGCCCCTGGTGTCCGGACGCCCCCGCGGGTGGCCGCAGGACACCGTGATCTGTGATAGTACAGCCCGGCCGGCCGCCGTGTGATGCGCCCGGCCCGTGAGCCAGTGCAGGACTGCGTATCCACGTTGGTAGAGGCGAACTCGTGGCCTCAGCGCCGCTGGACGCCCCGTGTATACAGACATGGATTGATAGCTGAATGTTATACATATGCCGCGCTCAAATATTTACTTGTTGGGAGCGGTCTGAAATATATCGCATCGTAGTGACAGAAATTGGTTTGGATGGGAGACGGCAAATCATGCGGTTCGCATGAAGCGAAATCGGCTTGTAATATTTAGTCGTTTGAGACGGGTGATCCAGGTTGCTTGTTAAATTCCCACCAGGCCCTAACGCCCAGCGGTTACTCCGTACTCTGAAGTTTGAGGTTGATGCAATCGACGATGAGGACAAGTTGTTTGGGCGGCGGTATCTGTGATGATTGCAGGTCAGCAGTTCCTTCTACCTACACAGTATACACTATACAACACACTCCGACCAAAGGCGTGCCAGGAAATGGCCAGACTGTCCTCCTCCCCCCACTTGACTTGGTGACCTCGCAATCAACAACCTTTGAAGAAGTTGAGAAGGACAAGGTAACCAGTTGGAACGTAGCGGCTTGGCTTCCCGATTACAATTCCTCCGGGTCTAATGGGTCTATACATCTATATTACTATTTGAGGAGGGTGCGTCTGTCCGTTACCGAGGTCCCGACTTGGTCGTGCTTTGCGTGGACTACAGGCCAGACCGTTGCACCTAGCGCGCTGAAATTTACACAACTTATAGATCAAGGATGCGCGACGTGCCTTTGAGGGGTCTCAGCTCGATCGGATTGGTAGGGAGCGCGTGGCGTATGCTCAAAAAGTGCAAATTCGCGTCATAGACTTTACATGTATAAATCGGCTTGCAAAATCGGGCGAAAATGGCTAAATTTGCCCGACACGGGTCCGATCCCCGTGCAATATCTCGGTAACCGTGGGCCCGATCGGTACAGGGAAAAGAGCATCGTGTAGAGAATCGAACGGGCTATTGAATGGTGTGCGGTGCAGGGGATGGCACGCGCCACGTGCACCCGTGAGGATACTTTTATTGGAAAGATTGCGGTTTTTGACGGATTTTGGAATTAATTTTATTTTTAGGTGACCGTTAAATGGAGCGAGTTGAAACAACGCCTATTTGCAAGAAAAATGTACCGCCTCTCATATAAAAATTGTGAAAAGCTGATTGATCCAAATCAAGGTGGTGCAAATCACAGGATAAAATGGTGTTTGTCAATGATGTGCCACTTTATTAATTACACGGGTTTTGCTGCATAACCTGATACCTTTGGCAAATGAATATGGTACCATTGGATAGAGCATTCAATTCTGTCCAATATTCACTCTTCATTTTTGCATGATGAGCAACAGTATTCTTAAAAATGTAAATGTTCCAAACCATTACATTGTCATTTTTAGCGAAATTCATTGATGGCCCTCAAAAGACTTCATGCCAGTTTTCGAATCATCGCATGATAATACGACACGGGCACCTCGATGCGATGTATTTTTTGTTTTTGTTTTTGTTTTATTACGAAATGCTTGGCCGTCAAAAAGCAATCGAACGAAATGGATACCAACCAAATTAACACAGACCAATCCAATACCCATGGGTCAAAAGCAACCCTTCTTCGCGTTGCGGAGCACGCGGGTAACCCTAGTAAGCAACAATTGCTGTGCTGATCACATTTACATATTAATATACGAAGATTTAAATCCACACAGGCATGCAGTTATGCACGGGATCAAGCCGCGCGGGAACCACCAGCCAGTCGGTAGAGGATTGGAGCAGGACGGCGCCTATCATCTTTCCATGAAAAAGAGTGACAAACAGTTCGGAGCGGACACAAACACTGGATCTCCGACGGACCCCGAAGTCTGAAGGCTAACGTGATCACATCGTAGACATAATGAAGGTATCGTGGGTAGTTATATCGGGCTGAATCGCAGCGGAAAATTCGGCATCCGTCAGTTGCCATCAAAGTTCGAACGGCAACCGTGACTACAGTCATCAATCGAACTGAGGCTCGCATTGAGCAGGCAAACCGGTCTCTCTCTCTCTCTCTCTCTCTCTCTCTCTCTCTCTCTCTCTCTCTCTCTCTCTCTCTCTCTCTCTCTCTCTCTCTCTCTCTCTCTCTCTCTCTCTCTCTCTCTCTCTCTCTCTCTCTCTCTCTCTCTCTCTCTCTCTGTCTCTCTCTCTCTGTCTCTCTCTCTCTCTCTCTCTCTCTCTCTCTCTCTCTCTCTCTCTCTCTCTCTCTCTCTCTCTCTCTCTCTCTCTCTCTCTCTCTCTCTCTCTCCCCGCGCCACGTCATCGCCGTGTCAATTCATGGAGCACGGCTGGGGGGGGGGGGGGGGACCGAGGGAGACCGGTACGACTCATGACCCCCCTACCAGTTCAAAGACGCCGCCACCGCCGTCCCCCCCCCCCCCATTGATTACTCATGGCTCGGCTATCGGCGGGCTGCACGACCGACCCGGCGGCCGGCCGGCTCCCGTTGCAACCCGCAGAGCCTAATTGAGTTGACCGGATGGGGGGTGTGGGGATGGGACGGACGGATGGGGGATGTAGGGGGGGGGGGGTATCAGCACAGCGGCCCTGCACTTGGGACAGCTGGGGACGGCTAGTTGTGAACGTACCGGCGGAAACTGACAATTGTACAGACTTGAAGCCGTGAATGACGGGATGATGTTGCAGACGAGCTTCGATACCTATTCGTGATTCGTGTTACGAGTTCACTATGCCTTTGCCGCGGACAAACGTTCACCCTTTCTTTTGATATGCAATTTCTAAAAACGTTTGTCAGTCAGTACAATGTCACGGGTTATGCTGAGCCGAAGTACGAGCGGGAAAGCAAAGCATGGCCCATCTCTAGACTCCGTGCGAGACGCCACTTGTGTCCGTTCGTACTGATCGAGTCCTGCCACTCATTCCTCCATCCCAAGGCCCTATACCTATACCCTCCATCCTCCCTGCGACTGTTTACCCAGCTAGTCCGCGTGCGTGGAACTTATCGGAAGTGTCCTGTATGTGCCCACATTGTCACAATCGACAGCCGGTGACAGCGTCGTCACTCATCGGCCCGCGCTGTGGTTTACCAGTGACGAGTCAGACCAGACAATATGTTGGCAGTCTTACTGACAGGTCAGACAAATGCTTCTGCTTATTGTGTGGATAATGCGAAAACCCAAAAGGAACATCTCAGTTTAAAGATTAAAATCAAAAGCATAATTTAACGTTGCTTTCCTGTTGCTGTTGCCAAATCGATACCAAACATCGAAGTACGTACTTTTTTGCCCGATAAGTGAGGACGTCCCTGTGTCCACATTGAATAATATCGAATAATACGTAGTCTTCATCACCGGTCAACCGTTAGTATGAATCCCAGGACACAAAACAGACGTGCTGTTCCAATCTCCCTGTATTTAGTAAGTCACTGAATAAATCACTGGTCAGAACATCGGCATACGCCGAAACGGCAGACCGTGCGGCACATATGCATATCTGGAATAGCAGCGGTGAGCAAAAACCGCAATATAATGGCCCCAAAATGCATACATAAATATATGTGTATATTTAGTTGTTCTTCACAGCATGAAAAAGCCTCTTGTGTTACCGATTTCTATCCCTGCCACAATTATTGACTAACCATCGGAGTACATATAATAATGAACTGTGTACGAGCGCACAATTACATATACAAGATGAAAACGCTTAAGGCAATGCTGGACGGACTTATCAGTCAATCACATATTACACTTATCTCATTAGCAAATATATGTTTAGCAACACACGCTTGGTAGTAATCCTCAGTTTGATTGGCACAAAATCTAGTGGCCATAGCCAACACATGATACAAAACAAAAAATAGCAGGAACTTTACAAACAAATAAGTTGCTGGGTACTTTCACGACAATTAGGCTCAAAGGTCGGGCGTAAGGTAATGAGTAAAAATTCAAGACCAGGACCGACATCTATACACTCGGTTTCGACACACCGGAGTCGGACTATAAATGTCGGGCCCAGCAAAGATCAATTTTTAGTAGATAATGAGATGGGTTCGGCAAAAAGGAATCAAATAAAGAGTAATTCCTCTACAAAATACAGCGCTGGGCTCGCACAGAAGTGTTCACGTAGCTGGTACAGGGCTCGATTTTCTCCAGACTTGCAGTTCAACATGAAATTCGATCTAGCATTAGTGAACATTCAGTGAAAAAAGTGCACCGATAGCGTCTCAATGGCGGACCTGACAAAAAGAAAACCGACAGCCGATTGCTAAACGATCACCGCTAGTCGTGTCGTCAGTGCTCAGCATCAGCGGAATGGAAGGCTGGTGGAGCTGTGTGCGTTTTACAGAGCACCGGCGCTACACCAGCGCCACCTACATGCATAGGCTTGAAGGTTGAGAAGCAGATATGCGTAGATGGCGCTAGAGGTGTATCGTATTTACTTTCTCCGACCGACAGGACTATCAACAGCCGGCAACGACAATAGAAGCCAGAGGTGCGAGAGCATCCACAAAAATAGCCTCTTTTGAGAGATCTGATGGTACAGTTGTTCTAGCGCTACTTATGTAAGTCTGGCTCTACTTACTGCAAATATGGCCTGTAGCTGGTCCACTTCCCTGCCATGTTCCGCTCTCGGCACTGCATCCCGCCGGCCCCTATCCTAGGGGCGTGGTCAGACTCCGTTGGTGAGGGGTGTGGGCGGCGGGGCGGGCCGGCCGCTCCGCTGACTGCGTGCCGCCCACGCTAGCTTCTGCCTCACCTCCTGGCACATCTGGAACGTGCGTGTGAGGCCGGAGAGGACGGCCTCGAGTCGCGGGAGACAACACTCGGCCAGGAACATGTCGAAGTGCAGGCTGCCCCGCTGCGGCACCAGGTGGTACACGGCCAGCACCAGCCGGTGACCCTGCACGTAAAAGCTGATGGCGATATCACCTGGCAGCGGCGGCCGCAGAGACTTCATGTTCTCGCTGCTCAGGTGGTCCTGGATGGTGCGTTTTCGCGGTGTGATGAGCGCATCACGGCCGCGCCGGAGTCTCAGCATCAGCTCCTCGATACGGTGGGAGAGCCGCGCCGTCAGACAGCGCAGGAACCCGGCATCCAGAGTGCCCTCCCGCCGGCGGGCCTCCACCTGAGTCCGCTGTCGGCCGGCCGAGTCGGCGCAGCGGCGCGCCTCGGCCAGCATGTTGGCGGCGTCCTGCAGCTGCACCAGCAGCCACGGCGCGTCCGGCAGGATCGACGTCTTGTGGATGGTGTTGGGGTGTTTGTGGATCTTGACCTGCAGCTCAGCCTGCACCAGGGCGGGCCCCTCCATGACGAGCACGCAGCGGGCGGTGTCGGCGCCGACGCCCTGGCCGGCTGACTGCTGCATCACGAACCGCTCCTGCGGCGCCGGACAGTCGGACCGGACCGGTCTCGGCAGCGACTCCAAACAGTCGTCCACAGACGCCACGATCTGGTCCAGAGAGCGGAACACCTCCCCAGAGAGGTACCATGCCACCTCTCCTTCCGCGGCCGCCGAGTCTGCAGCCTGCTGCTGGCCCCCGCCAAACCCTGGGTGAAATGCTGCATTGGGCAGGTCCATCGCTCAGGCCAGTGGTCAGCAGGTTATTCTGATATTTGCTGTGATGATGTGCACCAAAACAGAACCTGGAAAGATTATTGTTCATGTTACAACCTGCTAGCATTGATGCTACTGCTGTATCATCTATAAATTCTGATACAGCTGGCTGTGATGAACTTTGAAGCAGGGCTTCAGAGTCAGAGTTGGAGTCAGTCAGAACTGACAGATCTGACCAGAGTTATAGTCAGAGTCAATTTTGGAAGCCAGAGTTGGAGTCTAACAATTTTGAAAGTCAGAGCCAGAGGCAGAGTTGTAGTTGGAGACGGGAGTCACTAAAAACCCCACATAATTTGCAGGCCTGCTAGGGTAGCAGACAGCAGTCAGGGTTGGTCAGAGTCAATGCAATGGTTCTGTCTGGAATTTGAGTTTGAATTCATCTTGGAAGTCAAAGTCAGAGTCAGAGTCACTGGATATCCATCAACTTCGGAACCTTGTTTCAAAGTATCAGTATCAATATTTAATGTTTATGTTTGTGTTATTTATTGAAATCAGTATGATATTTAAGGTTTATGTTTGTGGTATTTATTGAAATAAGAAGTCAGCACCAGGTCATCAAACTTTCAAACTTTATTTAGTTATTTCATTTGCTTATTGCTTCATTTCAATTTTTCACAGAATAGCAGTAGCAGATTGCTACCTAAATTGAATTCAACAAATGATGGAGAGAAAATTCAAGCTTCTATTATGATCAGCTTGTACTTCAAATTGCCCGTTTCCTAGCTATAATTCTCACCTTCAGCGATCAAATTCAAGAAAATCGTCGCACAAAATGAAAAACGATAGTGAGGGAGGAAGCAGCCGCCTTACGTAAACAACCGGCAATCACGTGATTGTGCTTTCATAACATTTGTTGTTCATAATTTAATGAAAAACTGCTCTTTGGCGAAATGACGAATCAGCAGCTTACAATTCTAAACGTGAGCAGGACAACAGTAAATGAGCGGGACCAGCAAGTATCTAGAACAAAATTCAGCATACAGCCAATTGGCGCAGGATAGACAGAATTTGGCGCACCATTGCCATTGTTTGGTGAGTTTTTGGCTTTTGCGAATTATTTACATAATTAACCGTAAAACCAATATAAACCAATATTAACCGTGGATTTGGGTATTAACAGTGGAACTTTTACGTGCTGCCCACTAACAGTAACGTTGAATGGCACCATAAATTTATTATCTATTTGTGGCGTGCTGAATTTTAGGCAAGGTTGAGCATGACATGAGTTGAGCAATGTGCATATAACAATAATAAGTTAACAATTGCTGTGAATACCTATCTATCTGTGACACTGAATGTTTGGGGGTCTATGCTTATCTTTTTAAAAGAAATTCTGTTGCAATAGATAATGAGTGGATATTATTTACCCAGATGCCCCAATAAGCACCGACATTGGGCTACCCTAGTCGACCACTAAAGCTCATCCTCTGATTAGTGCATTCCATGATATGAGCACCAAATAGACATTGTCTACTCCTAGCCCATAACCTGAACCTGAACCTGAACCTAATAAGCAGTATTTGTTGCAAAGATATGTCCCTCCTCATCAGCCGCCATCACTGTGCAACCTTTTCTGGCTCCTGCACCTGAAGTCTACTAAGGAATTTTTCTTTTTCACTTAGGCAATGATCAACAAATAATGTTCAGTCAAATTGAAACAATTTGTTATTGACTGTTGAGGTACCTTAAAAAGCTTTCCTTTGATCATCCTCATTTATGAGTGCCTGGCATTTGGCAACACATGCTGTTGTGGGCTGATGACATCTGACATTGCTCATATTTTGTATTTCAGAACATTGAACAATGTCAGATTCAGACGATGATTGCTATGGACCAGTACTTCCTCCATCAATGCGCAAAACCAGTACAAAGGAAAACACTGAGAAAAAGAAGCAAGATGATTCCTCAGATGATGATGCCTATGGCCCAGCCCTCCCTCCATCCATGAGAAAACCTTCTCAGACAACCAGCAAAGATAAGCCATCCTCATCTTCAGAATCCAAATCAACCATCGGTCCGACCATAGGACCGTCACTGCCGCCCTCCTCGGCCAACCGCTCCAGCTCTGCTGCCGCCGCTGATGACGCCAGCTCCAGTGACGACGACGCCTACGGTCCGGCGCTGCCTCCCGGCTTCGTGAAGCGTCCGTCGGGACCAGCCGTGCGCGGACCCGCGGCGCCGGGACCGGCTGTCCGCGGTCCGGCGCTTCCTCCGGGAGGACTGCCTGCCCAGGAGGACGGGGAGGAGGATGAGGATGAGGACGTGATCGGTCCTCGGCCACCGGCGGAGAGCGCCGACCTCGGGCGGTATGCGGCTGCTGAGGTGGAACGGAGGGCCACCAGCATGAAGGAGAAGCTTGATGCGATGGTGAGTTACGAGAATAACTGGTCAGGGTGACGATGGAGTGGGTGGAATGATCGTGTAATGATGTGGATTGTTTAGCGATGGGAAGTCGGGTAACACTCGGGTATCGTAATCGGGTAGGGATACTCAATCGACCTGTGGAGTTGGTCGGAAAGTAACGGTATTTGTCCAGTGCAGGTGGTGATCATGCGACGGATGGTGTTCCTGCTGTGTCGGTGCATCGGTGTCATGTCAGTGAATATGCTGCCAGTTTCGCCTCATACGTCTGTGTTGTATTCCGTCCTCTCTTTATCGCCAGGGCCGGCCGGCAGAGCTGGTGCGCGAAGAGTGGATGCTGGAGCTGCCGCCGGACCGGGCCGGAGAGTTCGGCCTGGGCCCGCGTCAGTTCCGTAAGACGACCCCTCAGGAGCGAGGGGACACCAGCGGATGGACGGAGACACCCTCTACCAAGGGACAGTCGCGCCCCGCTCCGACCGAAAAGGTGAGTGAGAGAGGCTGGCTGATGCTGCGAGCAAGTACGCGTAATGACATCGGTGGTGTTATGCATAAAACTGTCGTCTTAAGACCAGGCGTTGAAGCTGTTCCCTTGTCAGCAGCTAGTCAGTCGTCTCAAAAGTCAAATGGCGCAGATAACTGATGAAGTTTGTGAATTCACTGACACATTTCTTCTAGTTCCAGTCCTGCTTATAAACAGAACCATGTTGTCAATTATCAAATTTCACGGTGATTATCCAGAAACATCTGCTGTTTTGTGACCCTCTCTCTCGGACCGTCTCTCCCGCTAACAGTACACTGTTTCGTCGCAGCAGCTGTGTGACTCCACCGTTATCCATGACCCCACTGATCTTTCTTTTTCAGGCTGCGAAGAAGGGCGGAGAGCTTGTCGAACTGGCCACCAGGCGGCGGGACGAGCGGATGGCGCAGGTCGCTGAGGACCTCGGCGCCAAACGAAACGAGTCCCTGCTGGACATGCACCAGAAAAACGTCAAAAAAGCTAAGGTGCTTTATCTAATTTTAATTGACTGAAATTACGTGCTAGATTACCAGGAGACAATATTCGCATATGATTGCCTTTTTTGTTTCCAACTTCGTCCAAAACTTTTCATTTGTACTCTCTCATTTAACATATTTAGGGCTCACACCTCAAAGCTCAATGAGCTACGGATTTTATCACCCAAACGCTGTACGCCATCGATTTAGTCAATGCCGTTCGTCTACTGAACACACCTGATTTCAAAGTCAACTGACCTGTCACCTGGCTGCCACCAGACGTGACAGGTAGTGGCCTGACACTCCTGGCATCCTCCACCTCTCACTCCTCAGAAGGCGGCGGTGGAGGCCGGTGAAGCCCCCAAGCGGAGACAGGAGTTCGACAGGGACCGGGACCTCGGAACGAACCGCTTCGACGACGCGCAGCGAGCGGCCGCCATCAAACGCTCGCGCGGTGCGGCCGACATGTTCAGCTCCGGCGCGCAGAAGTTCCTCTGATCGCTCCTGGGAGAGGATGGAGTCATCTCGGGAATGTGGTGTAACCGGCAGCGTCACCTCCACCGGCCAGGAATTGAGGCGTGCGGTCCTAGACGGACTGGCCGTGCGTGTCGGCTTTGTGCCTGATGTGGTGGCTTGGTGTTTAGTGTGGTGACCTGGCGTGGCGACTTGGTGACTGGTGTGGTGGCCTGGTGCCTGGTGCCGTAACCTGTTGGCCTGATGCCATGGTGTCTCCGTACCTTGCTCTTGTCGGCCTGAGTTAGTCCGCCGGCTAACGGTAGGCTGGCGGGCGCCATCCCCGTCATGCGGGAAAAGTCAGGACTCGACGAAAAGACCTGACTCAGAAAAGGGGCCGCCTTCTCATCGTCCCTAGTACAACATCGACTGCACTAATGCGCCGTCCGAGCGACGGAGCAGTGTCACTGTCTTGAAGGACTGTGATTGGACTAGATCGTGACATTTGGCGTCTGGCGATTCATGTTGCATTCGCCGTATTGAGGCGCACACGTCAGTCGCATGTCACATCATCGATAATTTTAACGCTTCAACGCTGAGCGTTGTTCATTCATCGTACACATCGGATGGCGCTTCATACTATGTAGTATGTACTATGCATGTATATCATGCGTGCGCACTACGCATGTGTGCATAATTGGTGCGAGTTTGAGTACCGTTTGTGTGACATTTGCAAAACTGAATCACTTTGTCTTTGACTGATGTTTTCTAACATGGCTGTTTCGGGCGCCTGGGACCATGCAGAAAGACTGGCTGGTTTGCTCGGTGGACCAATGATTGTATTTGTTTTCCTCCCTCACATCGTAACGACACAAGGATGACACGGCTTAAAACGCGAGTTCACTATGATGAAACAGCAAATATCAGCAACTGATGGGGATGTTTGCAATAAAACAGCCATTAGACCACCTCAACAACAGTATTCTGAAAGATCGCCCTATCTTCAGCCTTAGTTCCTACGGGTATGCGTTGTGCTAAAAGACTTCCTTCTGCCCCACAACTGTACCGTACACGCACTGCCTCAATCACGCTATTCCCAGAGAACGACGGCAGCACGTCAATCAACCCCGGCCAATGAAATTCCTGCTTTCATCCTACCCTTCCCTGTACGTACAAGCACGAACAACTTCGCTCCAGTAAAACGATCACCATCTTCAAACTGACGTTTGCTTCACCGCGAGGCTAAATGAAATCGTATACAAAGTACACAGCGGGGAATATTCAGTGGCTGGGCGGGACCCATCATCACACATGGCTCCTCCATTACCGTGGAGCCCCAGTCGTGACAATTATGCTGAATAGAGCCCTGGACAGTTCAAGATGGCAAGGCTCATGACGCAGCTCTCAACACCTTCCGTCCTCAGGCTTTCACTGTGATGGCACTTTTACTCATCACCGTGAAATTGGCGTTGCAGTACCATTTAGCCATGACGTGACAGAATTGCCGAAGAATCATAACGTTACGGGATCACTGTGTAACTATGACGTCACCAGTTCATCATGCCCGGTGACGTCCCGCCCTACTGCCGCCGGCGGGTGGCCCGCGCGAACCGCCGCTGCTGTCTGTTGTCGCCTGTACCGATACTGAACGAGCCCGCCGCCTGGGGGGTCCCCGCTGCACCTGCGGCGGACGGAGGACAGCCGGTTAACGAACTGTAGCAGCGAGAGCTGGAGATTACGTGTTCGAAGTTCTTAGGTGGTTGCGCTAAACGTCATCCTCTAGACTTAGGGCATGTTCACAGTCTCCTCGGACGAAGAACATTCTATGTCGCCCGGCCAATCCCGTCCGATATCCGTAGCTCAGCTCACGCCGACCCTGAACGGTATTGGCCGGACGACATAGAATCTTCGTCGTCCGAGACTCTGAATCCGGGGTTAACCACCAAACTACACAAAATAAAGTCTAAATGTCATCAAGATCGCACACCATACACCATCATTTCACGTATAACTTACATATTATACAATACACATATAGCAATATACAAATTACCATTGATAAAACCTCGCTATACGAATATTCAGCAAGGCTAAACTATTTGCCTAAAGTGGGCGATTCTTCGTCCCGATTTTCCATCCTTAGAGCAGCATTACGTACCCATGTTGAAGGCAGGCGGAGAGGCGAACGCCGGCATGCCGGGAGCCGCCGACGGGGTTCCAAACGCTGCCAGAGACACGAACGAACAATCGTCAGAGTTGGCAAGTTAAACAAGTAGGATGCATGTATGATGGTAAGCTCAAATCGTAACAGCTAAGACGTGCATAAAATGCCTTTAAAGCTATGTGTGGCACAGATAAGTTACAGTCGCCTCTTGTCGTTTAATGCGGCTCTAAATGTCGATTGTAATGATTATACCTTTCATACTTCATAGTAATTAGATACAGCATCGATAACAAGAGATCCGAATAATCTAACGCACCCTGCACAGCGGTGCCTTTACTCACGTGACTGCACTCCGAAGGGACTGGCGGCGGCCTGCGGTGTCGCCGTCTGCTGAGGCGTTCCGAACGGACTCGCAGCGGCCGGCGCGGCGCCGAACGGACTCGCAGCAGCCGCGGGGGCAGCGCCGAACGGACTCGCAGCAGCGGCCGGTGCCGCGCCGAAGGGGCTCGCCACCCCCACCGGTTTGGCCGCCGCCGGCTGGCCCGCCGAACCAGCTCCGAACGTGAAGACACCTCCACTCGCCGGGGCTGGAGGCGCCGAGCCACTACCGAACGCGAACGCACCGCCAGTCGCAGCCGGCGCCTTGCCGAACGCACCCCCAGCGGCTGGTGTGGAGCCGAACGTGCTTCCAGTGGCAGCTGGCGCCGCTCCGAACGCACCCGTAGTAGCGGCCGGCGCCGCGCCAAACGTGCTTCCCGTCGCGGCCGGCGCCACGCCGAACGCACCCCCAGTGGCAGCCGGGGCCTTGCCAAACGTAAAGACCCCACCAGAGGCCGGCGGCGCGGCGGCAGGCGCCGAGGAAGTCGCTCCGAATGAAAACACCCCCGACGGAGCGGCAGGAGCAGCGGCAGCGGCGCCGCTGCCGAACGCAGGCTGGGTGGTCGCCGGAGCCGCCGCGCCGAACGCAAACGTCGGTTTGCCAGGCGCTGGCGACGCTGTATTCGCCGAACCAAAGGCGAAGGTGGGCGTAGGAGCGGCGGTGGCAGCCGGCGCGGAGGGTTTAGCCCCGAATGTGAAAGTAGCTGACGTAGAGGTTGACGTGGCTGCCGCGAACGGCGAGGCCGTCGCGCCGAACGTCGCCGACGCTGTAACGGCGGCAGCCGGCTGCGAGGTTGGCGCCCGGAACGTGAAGCTGGCACTCACGTCACCACTATTAGAGGACGCGGCAGTCGACGGGGCCGCCCCAAAGCTAAACCCTCCGCCGGCGGCAGCAGGCTGGCTCGAGGCAGCGCCGAACGCTGGTGTCGCGCTCGTCGAGGCTCCAAATGCGGGTGGTGCCGAGCTCGAGGGAGCACCAAACATCGCAGTTCCGTTGGTGACCGCCCCGAAGGCCGGTGCGGTCGTGGTAGTGGCACCAAACGCTGGGGCTGGAGTAGCTGTGGTGGCCGCCGCACCAAACATAAACGTCCCCGACTGACCGGTGCTGGCAGCGGCGCCGAACGCCGGGGCAGGCGCGGAGGTGGTGGTGGCGACACCAAACGTCGTCTTGGCTGCGGCGTTGCTGGCAGATGCCCCTGCAGCAGGCGCGGCGGCCTGTCCGGACGCGCTACCGAACGAGAAGGTCGGTGCCGCCGTCGAAGCGGTGGCGGCGCCCGCAGCTGAGCTCGGAGCTCCAAACGAGAAGGACGGAGCAGCGGGGCTGGAGGCCACGCTGACCGGGGCGCCAAACGAGAACGTCGGAGCAGCGGCCGCAGAGGTGGCTGATGGCGCAGCGGCGGGCGCAGACGAAGTGCTCGTGGCGGCAGCTCCGAATGTGAAGGTCGGCGCAGCGGTCGCCGCCGTGGCAGGAGTACTGGACGCCGGAGCAGCGCTCGAGTTGCTCCCGAAACTGAAAGTCGGCGCCGCCGCCTTGCTGCTCGCCTCCGTCGAAGACGCCGTGCTGACCGTGGCACCAAGCGCTCCGAACTTCAGTCCCGTGGATTCCACAGGTTTCGGCGCTCCAAAAGAGAACGTCGGGCCGGCGGAGCTCGCTGGCACCGCCGCGTTCGACGCACTGCTTGCCGCCGCTGCGGACACCGTACCGGCCGAGACGGCAGCGCTGTACGCCGGCGGTACGGTCCCCGACGACGCCGATGGAGTTGGAGCTACAGAAGTCGCCGAGGACACGACCGTCGATCCAGATCCGAACTGCAGCGACGGTACGGCCCCGGAGCCGCCGGCCGTGGCCGCTGTCGGCGCCGGGGCGGCCGCTGACACGTGCACAGCGGCTGAAGTGAGGCCTCCGCCAGCCGACGGCGACGGCACAGAGCTGGTAGCGCTGCTGAGCACGGTCGTCGGGGCCGGTGACGCCGCCGGACCGGCAGTGCTCGCCGTGGTGGGCGTGGCCGCGGCGGGGGGCGTGGTCACGGAGGAGGGCGTGGTCGAGGTGAGAGACAAGGCCTCCGTGGACACGGGGCTCGCCATCTGTACCGGTGTCGGTGTCGGCGGCTCCTTCTTGGCGTCTGTGAGTGGGAAAAAGCATCCGTAAGTAACACTACCTAAACTAAACGAGAGGCGATCGATTGGAGATCAGTAGAGCACATGAAGATTAAACAGAACTCCCTACTCGAAACATGAGCACATTCAAATATATAGTAATCCAATGTCACTCCCAAACCAATACGGTCAACCAACAATAGACCGATAGAAAACACCAGATTTATCCGTACCTGGTACCGTCACACTAGGAATTTCCCCGGTTACAGACTTGACAGCCACAGCCACCCTAAAATGTTCCATTATTTTGTTCTCACCTGCGCGATCGAAGGCCCGCAGCAGCCCGGCCAGTCGCCGGTTTCTGTCCCGCTCGTAGCCCTCCAGGGTGACCTCTCGGGTCAGGTATACAGGTTTAGCCGGCGGCTCGGCCGGAGAGCTCAGCATGCGGACAGGGCGAGCTGGAGGGGACGACCCGCTCGACTTGTCAGACGCCTGGCGAAGGGTGAGGACATGTCAGTGGGAACGTGAAAAAGAACGAAAAAGCGAAGCGAAGTATTGCTACGATGACAAATCAATCAACGAATGATTTTTGTCTTTGAATCACGCTAAAAGCACTACTAACCTTCAAGTTCTAGAAAAGAATACTTAAATCAAGGAATGTGTACAAAACCCAGATCACTGAGATTAATGGCTCTTGATACTAACGGCAAGTAACCATCACATTGACCATCTCGCCAGTTTTTCTGATTTTCTTTTCCTCTTTCTAACCCCTGATAAAGCGATTTGCACAGGTAAAACAACCAGAAATGCAAGCGCCCCTCCTCGGTGCTCGCCTGACGCAGCGCGGTGACCAACTGCCGGTTTCCAGCCCGGGTTGGAAATCGGTCGTCTTGTTGGTCGTCGTCCTTAGGCTCTTCCTCGTCGGGTGGTTCCGGGGCGACGGCTGGTGACGGGTCCTGCAGGGTTGTCTGGTCTTAGACGGACGGGCAGCGCTTGGATGACGGCTGCGTCGGCCGCCCTTTGTTGGATCTCGGCGGTCGGCAATCGGTGGAAGTGGTCCCTGAACCTAACGGGCCGGTCCGGTTGGTCCCCATGAATAGCGATGGGGTCCACTGTGGACGGTCGAGGCTGGTCCTCTTCCGAGTCCGATGAATCCGGCGAGTCTGTCAGCACGGTGCGCGGCGGCCGCGGTGTCCCGAAGCGACATCGGACAATGGCTCCACCTGCACGGCCTCCTCAGGGCTGGCTGGCAGGAGATCAGCCAGTTCAGGAAGAGATCCAACTTCAGACACCGTAGAGACGGTGGACATCGAATCGAAAGAAACGAACAAGAAGTACAAAAGGTTGGCTTCTTGAAGTAGGGGAAAGTGGGACAAAGCGGCTACCCAGGGCAAAACGGCCACCCTTCATTTCAGCCCTCCACGACTGGCGTCAGCTCCAATTTATGGTTACCAAGTATAGTTCTCTTCGCGGTCGTTTGAATGAGCCAGACCGGGGTTTCCAACCAGTCGCCATTTTTGTGACAGACGTAAAAACACATTTTCCCATGTTCTTCTTATCATCCCAATATTCATGCGCTTTTTTTAATGTTATTTTGTGCCATACCATAACCGTTTGGGAATTTGTTCAATTGTTATCACTCCAGCATTGAGTGGCTATCGTACATGTCCTCCGCCAATTTTAATGCGTTCTGACCCACTAATAACAGAGCTACATTTGTTTTTGTTTTTGTCTCGGATGGTAGGAGCGTGGCAAAGCGGACTGGGCAGAGTGAACAGCTCCTAATTCTACGGTGTCTTCAACTTGGACAACAAACTTTATTGATATTGAAATGTATCGTCGTGCATTCATCTCGGCCACTTTTCAGTTACATGAGTTACCAAAAAAATGTCATTAAATGTTTTCCATGAATGCCTTTTCTTTACATATTTACCTACAGATGAGAAGATGGCAAAATAAATCTCCATGATCCATCCTCGTTTAAATCTTGACACCATCAAAAACTCTAGTTGTACACGAGGTAACTATTCTGTTTCTCACATCAGGGCCTTAGAAGCGCCGGTGGCCGCTTTGCCATAGGGTATGGGCCAAAGTGGCCAAAACACACAAGCTTAACCCGCGCCCCAGTGGCGGTCTCAGCCAACTTCGCCCTAGTGGGGGGGGGGGGGGGGAGGGCATATGTTACCACCCACCTCTAACTCAAAAACTAAGAGGGATAGAAAGACGCGGTAAAAAGCAGTCGATAGCTCTCAATGCGTACGTTTGAAAGTATTTCGGTCATTTTTCACCTTTGAGCAATATTGGGGTCACCAGAGGTCATCAAAGGTCAAAATTTGCCAATTGTCATTATATTTTTCAGAAAACATGCCGCTATCTCAGGAACTATGGTAGCTAGAAAAACGCATGGAACAGCAAACGATAGCTTTTGACCTCTTCTTTTGAAAAGGTCATTATCAATATTGACCTCAGGTCAACGGTTTAGCCTCCAGAGGGCAAAAACTCCAAAAATAGCTGTTTTTACGAAAAGTGTTTTTCGACAATAACTTTTGACTACAAAAAGCCACGGCATTTCTATTGCCAGAATCGTGTTCCCCTCGCCGAGACGCGTCGAATGAACTATAATTTGACCTTGAAAAGTAAACTTGAAAATTTGACCTCAGGTCAAGGTCATGACCAGACCGGAAAAGGTCATGTTGCATATCAGTCGATGCGTCTCAACAAGACAAACACAATGAGACCATCCCCAGCGTTCTACCTCGTTCCAATCGCGAGTTATTGGCAAAAAACTGTTTGTAGCCTCAAGTGACCTCAGATGACCTGTCTAGAGGCTATCAGCAAAAATGACACCTTGGTCATCACGAGTGGACTAAATCATTGTGATTCTGAAATATTTGGACTGTTCCCATGCGTACACACGGATCTAGAGGCATTTTCATTTTTCTCCATTGCCTTATAATGGTAAGGTCACGCCACTGACCTGACCTTAGGTCACGGATATGAAAAATCCGACATATACAAATTGTAGGCGCCCATAACATCATGCAATCCACCAAGTTTGAAACCTTTCTGACAAACACTGCAGGCTGGACATGATTGCAAACTTTTTTAGGCTTGGTCAGTTAACTTGACCTGGTGACCTGACCCGACATGACCTGGGGTCAAAAATTTCACACATTGTCCAAATTGATGTACAAAAAGCTACCCCAAGCGGCGCGGCACTACGCGCCGCGCTTTTTTATTTACACGCGAAAAACGCGACAGGGTGGTAACATATGCCCCCCCCCCCCCCACTGGGGCGAAGGTTAAAGTTTTGCCAATACCTCCTAGTTATATGTGAACGCCCTTAGAAATGAAACGAAGTTAAAATAAATGAACTTGACATTGACCTTTGATTTGGAGCAAAATTTCGGAACCCTCAGACTCTCTTATTCCGATTCATACCCATTTTAGCCGATTTTATGTATCCCGTCGTCCTCTAGAACGCTTACGTTGAGATCACTACACATGTGCCGATTTTCACCTTTGGCCCTGACCTTTGACCTTGAAAATCGACCTGAGATAAAAAAATAGGTGCTTTAAAATCGTCTCGTAAAGACCTTTCGTTTGGTACCGCTTTTGCTTCCGTAGCTCCCTTATTTACAGAGTTAGACGGGGAGGGAAGGGGGCGAAAAACGCCCCTCCCCGGGCTGCGGTGGTTGGGATTACCCCCGGGCCCGGCCGGGTTGATAGGGATCACATTGGTATAGGAAGAATCTTCTCAAGTTGAAAAATCATGCGTCGGCATCGTAAGAAGCGTTATGGTGGCCACTTTGCCCCGCTCTCCCCTACTGGTGGTTCTGCAGCAGGAGGAGTCACGGCTGGGGCTGGCGGCGCCACTAGCAGGGGACCCCAGCTGTTCACCTGGAGCACAGGTACTGTGGCCCGGGCGCCGGCCATCTGGGAACCATCCGGGTAAGTTGGAGGCCCCCAGCCGGTCCCAATCTGGGAGGCCCCCGTTGGGCCGGGGAGGGTGGTACTCTAACGTGTCGTGGGGCCTTCGGTGGGACCGTTGGGCGCCAAAGAGACGACCGCGTGTCACTGCCAGTGCCCATCACACTATTAATCAGCATCGCCTGTGGCGGCCATCTTCGGCCTCTTACGGCGGCGTTTAGGGCCCTGTGCAGCTACAGGAGCAGGTTGGGCATACTGCACAACTGCTGGGTGGGCTGCTGGAGGTCCAGGATGGGCGGCGCCGGCGGCGGCAGACTCACCCCAAGCTGCTGGAGCTCCAAATCCAGGAGTGCAGTAAGGGCGGCTGACCAGCCGCGATGGCCCACGATGACGAAGAGCTTGAGCCTATCTTGCAGAAACCGAAAGTCTGCAGGGTCCTCTGGGACCTGGGCTGTCGCTAGCAGCAGGACACGGATCTCCTGTTTGTCCCTGGTCTGGAAGTTCTCGTTGGTGAGTCTCTGGAGGGACAGGTATTCGCGCCACAGGGCGTTGAACTGGAGTGATGAGACGGGTGGGTTCATCACTGCCGGATCGGGCACAGGCGCTGTACGGCTGGGTGTCGAATTTGGAAGTGATGGCGCAACGGGCTGGAGCAGCGCGGCGACACGGTGTGCAAGGACCTCCAACTGGCCGTCATCCAGCGTCACCGCCATGGCGCCGCCCTGGTCAGGTGAAGACCCGTCGCTGGTCGCCAGGTCTAAATGTGATTGCTGACTGGCGCTTCGAGTCGTCCGCGTAGGGGTGTCAACGAACAGCTGCTTGCGTGTGACCGCTGGGATGCTGGGTCGAGGGCCGCGCGCAATGCGGCGTGGAAAAGGAGAGTGGCCGGTCGCAGGTAGGCACAGTAGAGCTCCTGCAGGTCGCGCTAAGCGACTAGCACTGTATCGTGACACCGATTTGCACAGGTAAAGCATGTGTAAGGAGCACCACCTCTCGTCGGTGCTCGCCTGACACCGCTCGATAACACGCCGATAGGACGCCGCGTGCCAGATAACACTGACCAGATAACACTTACCGGCGTCGACTCGGGAGCCTCCATCCTTTCGTCGCCCTCCTCGTCTTCGTTGCTGGTCTGCGCCGCGGGGGGCGGGGAGACCACGGGCGCCGGGGCCGGAGTGGGGGCTGGGGCGGCCGGTCGGACTGGGGTCGCCGTCCCAGCCGCCGGCCGACGCTTTGAGACCGAGCTTCGACCCCCAGCGGCCGGCGGCGACTCGGCGTCAGCTGGAAGACAAGGATTGGGGCAGGTCAGCTCAGGTACTATGCAGGTGTGAGCAAGGTTATCTAAACACAAGCTGGCGCTTAGCTTAGAAGCTAAAATTATTAATAAGCGAAGATAGGACAAAAACATGTAAAATAAGGTCAAAATGCTTGAGATCACAATGCAATGCTCATCGATTACCACTGACTCCTATTATTTACAGCCGCAAACTTAGTTATTTTCATCTTAAATTGAACATTCAACTGCTGCTTGAAATTGCATAGCACGATACAATTCAAAGGATAAGGCTTCAATGCTAAAATGTCGGCAACGTAGCAAAGTAACTTGACTGGAGCGCAAAAAAAAAAAAAACTTAATGAGCTCAATCGCTGACCTGTGCGTTTTTTGGCGGCTGGTCGGCGGGCGGAGGAACTCAGCGAGGACAGAATGTCCTGCCCGCTCATCACAGAGAGCCGCTGCCGCTTTCCAGCGCCGTCCTCGGCGGGCGCCGCGCCATCAGAGCCATCTGTCGAGATATGCGCGAAACTGCGCTTCCCGTGCGGCACGACAGGGGCCATCTCGTCCAGCTCCAGACTGTGCAGGAAAATGAACATCCAGTCAGACAACCAGAAACGTCAGCAGAAGTATACTAACCTAGCTCCTTGAAATCCCAGCGAGGACAGCCGATAAAACAGTGCAGGCCTCGGCGAAATTTCGCTATAAACAATCTGAAGTGCACTGGAATCGGTGCTATGCGCCCATTTACAACCCGCACACACACCTGCACCGCCCGCCAGTCCCCTAAATGCCTCTCCGACCGACCGACAGTGAATTCCACCCAGTGACTCCCCGACTCACTCGCTGGTTTCGTGATACTGAGTAATGACTCCACCCCAGTGACTCCCCGACTCACTCGCTCGTTTCGTCGTCGTCGGGTGAGTCCAGCTGGGAGGAATCATCAGCAAGGTGGCGCGCGCGCTTCGCCTCGTCATCGTCCTCCTGCTGGCGAACGCAAAACAGGACACGTCGGAGTAACTGAGAGAAATGGGGACTCAGATGTCCAGCCACGCATAGTTTGCGACTGATGTTTCAGCCGTATGTGGCAGAACAATAATGTTATTACATGTGTTATTACAACAAAAAATAACGACTTATGTGCTTGGGCATGTGAAACGGTCGCAGCTTTGGTAACATTCATTTTAATTTTTAAATGCATATTAGGGTGGCCCCTATTTTCGAAAGTTTGAAAATCCAGTCTCCAAACCCGGATTCTTGTTCCACTCCATGAGAAAACCACGCGAGTATTTTTTTTTTTTTTAATCGAATAATATTTACCCGGTGCTCAACGACCTTAAAATTTTAAACGGCGATCTGCCACCTTCGCCCATGCAGGGGGGGTTGGTGCGACCCCCCCCCCCTTGGCGTTTGAAAACGGAGCGTCGTAGAGCTTAGCGGAAAAGACCAACGGATTGCTCTCGCCGAGATCTCGCGATTGGTGGTATATTTTTTGGTCCTAGGTCAACATTTGACCTACTTTTGACCGGTCAAAGGTCAAATTTTCGGAAAAATAGACTTTTTTCAACTTTCGGCGGCGATTGCGGCAAAACGGTGGGAGACATCGACTTGAAACCTTCACTATCGTGTTCCTTGATCAATTCTCTATCGTTTGGTATGTATTTCGTTTCCCTAGCTCTAAAAATGGCGCGTTGGGAGCGCCGGAAGTCGGCAAGGTCACAATCGGCGGCAGAAATTCGAAAAATCAAAATTTAAATTTTTGAAATCTGATTGTATTTTTGGATTTGGGATGTCCATTTGCTCCCTATAGAAGCTAATATTGCTGCATATTCCCATTGAGGTGACAAGAATTAGCAAAATAGTGGTTCGGGCGCTTTTCAAAAATAGTACCGGACGCTGTTCCTCTTGTGACGTCATAGCTCCGTGACCTGACCTGACCCGGTCAAGTTTCTTATACCATATGATAGCCAATACTTGCCCCAACATGCATGGGAAGTTTCATCACGATCCATCGACCGATGTCCGTACCACCGGCAGGAAACCTCGGGCGTTGGCACTCAGTTTGTGAAAATCCGGCCGGAGGTTGTTCCCTTTGTGACGTCATAACTCCGTGACCTGACATGACCCGGTCAAATTTTTTTATCAAAAGATGCGCAAGGTTTGCCCCATAAGGTACCCAAAATTTGGCGGCGCTGCGCGCCGCCGTTTTTGCACTATTTCCGAAAAACCTCAGGGGGGGGGGGGTTGCACCAACCCCCCCCCCTACATGGGCGAGGGTTAAGATTATTTTCACGTTCAACGATACAGGGAGGAGGAGTTCAAGGAGCGCCTGGCGAATCTCTTCGACGTCGCGAAGGCCGGCGCTTTGGAGACAATGACAAATGAGAAGGACAAAGCTTTTCTTCTCGCTCAACGTGAACCGGGACGCAGGGGACGCATGGGAGGGGTGGACACAGCACTAGCTGCCCAAGAACAGCGATCGTCACAGCGGCAAGCGGCACATGAGGCGAGGAAGCGACGCGCGGAGGAGGAGGCGTCGACGTCCGCGGCAAGAGTCCAGTTGGAGGACTCGTCCTCAATCTCCTCTAGCACCAGCGCCGAAGGAAGCCCCACACGTGCAAGCCTCCGAAGCAAGCCTCCCCAGTCCCACCCAAACGGCCTCGAGCGAACCTCAACATCGTCACCCCGGACGTGGCGGCCTCTTTGGATCGCGTCAAGGTGAGTGACCGTGGCGCAGTGTTCGTCCTCACCGAGACAGCGCGTGCCCTGGGGCACGACACAGTTGAGTACAACATCAACAGGACATCGATACATGATGATCTTTGATGATGATTTGGATGATTTGATGATGATTTGGAGTGACAGGGCGCACCAGCTGCGAGGCTATATCGCGCCCATTTCTTATTTGACTTCCTCAGTGTCGGGCGTTAAAAATCACCTGAAGGCCGGAGGCCGCAATAAACAAAAAGAGGCGAGAAGAGTCAAGCAAAGAGGATTCGTCACCTAAGACTGCTCTCAAAGAAAGTTGGGCTCCGCGCAGGCCCAGAAACTTCAGCCGCTCAGCTTCCAGTCTTGGACACTCCAGAAAAACGTGTCGGACGGAAAGTCTGTCGCCACATCTCGCACAAACAGGTCTTGGGCCGACGCCAATAAGGTGTCCATGGGTACCAAAAGTGTGTCCTGTGCGAAGCCGACAGAGGATGACCTCCTCTCGACGCGACTTGCGTGACGCAGACAACCAGGTTGCCAAACCCGGTTTGATGCGTAGCAGCTTGTTTGTCTGACATTTGCTCCAAGCCTCCTGCCACTTTCCGCGGAAGAATGAGCTCACCGTAGGGAAAAAGTCCCTGGCCGGTAGAGGGAACCGGCGGGAGCAGGGCTGCCGCGCCGCATGGTTCGCAGCACGGTCCGCCCGCTCATTGCCAGCTATACCAACATGGCTGGGAATCCAGCAAAAAGTCACTGAGGTACCCTCTCGGTCGAGAGCCGTCAAACGGAGAAGAATCTCCTGTACGAGGGGGTCAAGTGGATAGAATTGTGTCAAGGACTGGAGTCCGCTCAATGAGTCGGAGAGGACAAGATATGACCGAGCGGGATGAATCTGGATAAAACATAGAAGTTTGAGGACGGCGACCAATTCGCAGGTAAAAACGGATGCATGTTTAGATAAAGTAAAACATCGCACAGCGTCGCCGCAGACGAAGGCACAGCCAGCACCGAGGTCCGACTTGGACCCATCGGTGTATGCCACGGCATGGCCTGAATATGATTCAATATGTTCCAATGCCTTCGCCTTGAAGGCCAGAGGCAGAATTTGGTCTTTCCGTGTGCCTGATAGGGTTAGGTCCACAGAGGGGACAGATAACCTCCAAGGCGGTTCAGGCAGGATAACAACTCGCATGATGTCCCGAGTGCTTAGGCCACAATCTCGGAGGAGATCGGCCGTTCGGGTGCAGAAAACTCGAGAGCGGCTCCTCTCGTCGCCATCAAAGACTGCTAAGAGCGACCTGGAGAAAGCCGGTCCGTGAGCAGGATGGGAAGGGAACTGACGAAGTTTGATGGCGTATCGCATGCCCAACATCTGCCTTCGTAAGGCCAGAGGGGGCTCGTTCGCCTCAGCTAACAAGCTGACGACAGGAGTAGTTCGGAAAGCACCAGTCGCAATGCGAATCGCTGCGTGGTGGACAGTGTCAAGAATAAGCTTGGATGAGGATGCAGCGTTGTCATAGATAAAAGATCCATAGTCCAGACGGGACCGCACCAGAGACCGATAAAGAAGGAGTAGCGTACTACGGTCAGCGCCGTAGGACATGCGAGCGACACACTTCAGAATGTCAAGAGCTTTAAGACATCTGTCACGGAGACACTTTATGTGACTTCGGTATGTGAGTCGGCAGTCAAGAGTCATGCCAAGGAACTTGGCCTCCGCAACCACTGGTATGGCTTCACGGTAGAGCCTCACCACCATGGGTGCAGTGGGGCGACGCTTACGGGAAAACTGCATGCCTACCGTCTTTGCAGAGGAGAACCGGAAGCCGTTCTCCTTGCCCCATGCCTCCACTCGAGCAACTGCCATCTGCAGCTGTCGCTCCATTGATCGAGTCGACGCCGCACTGCACCAAATAGCAAAATCATCGACGTAAAGAGCGCGGCCGATGGCTGGAGAGAGGACCTTTTCAATGTCGTTGATCATGACACCAAAAAGCGTCACGCTGAGCACACCGCCTTGTGGGACTCCATTAATCTGGGCGAACCGCTCAGATAACTGGTTGCCCACACGAACACGGAAGAAACGAGCACCAAGAAAACTGCTTAGAAAATGACCCATCGTGCCTCGAATGCCTAGCTTATGCAGCTTCTGTAAGATACCGAATCGCCAAGTGGTATCATACGCTGCTTCAATGTCGAAGAACAAGGCGCCTACTTGACGACCTTGTTTAAAATTCGAGCGGACAACTGAGTCAAGAGTAAGAACGTGGTCGACAGTACTCCGGTGCTTTCTAAAACCACACTGAGAATTCGCAAGAAGTCCGTGCCGCTCCAGATGCCAGGTAAGTCGGATATTCACCAGCTTTTCCAACAGCTTTCCAACGGCGGATGTGAGCGCAATTGGGCGGTAGTGCAGAGGGTCCAAACCGCTCTTCCCTGCTTTTAGAACAGGGATGACAACTGCCTCCCGCCAGGAGTTTGGGTAAACACCCGTCATCCATAGGAGGTTGAACAGCTGAAGGAGAGCATCCAGAGCAACCGGAGGGAGATGGCGAAGCATCTCATTGTGGACAGAATCCGGGCCTTCTGCGACACATTTAAGACAGCTTATAGCTGACTTGAGCTCAACCATTGTAAAAGTATCGTTGTAGCTCAAAACGTCGGAGGTGCTAAAATTGACCCCAGAAGCTTCACAAGACGAGCGGTGCCTGACAAAGGATTCGTCGAGGGACTCATCACCACACCGCCGATAGAGGGCGCGGCCTATCTCCGAAGCAACGGCGTTTGGCTCCATGATGTCCCTTCCATCCACCTTCAGCACGGGTAAGGGTACAGAGGAGTGCCGGCCCGAGATGCGCTTTATGCGCGACCACACTTCGCCGATTGGAGTAAAACGATTAAGAGTGCTGACATATCGTTTCCAAGATAAGATCTTGGCCTCTTTGATAGTGCGCTTGGCAACCGCTCTGGCTCTCTTAAAAGCTATCATGTTGGCCGTGGAACTATTCCGCTGAAAGGCACGGTAGGCACGCTTTCGGGCACGAATTGCATCAGAACAGGCATCACTCCACCATGGAACTGGTGGTTGTCGGGGCATACCGGAACTGCGGGGTATGCAGGCTTCGGCAGCCTCGACGAGTTTGGACGTGAAATCATCGACTGACAAACTGTATGTTGGAACATCTGAGAATGACTCTGTCACTCTCGCCTCGAATTCGGTCCAGTCTGCCTTCGTTAAGTTCCACCTGGGTGGCCGACAGCCAACTGAGCCATGC